GTGGGGGAGGAGGAGTCGTCGATGGAGTCGTCGATGGAGGAGAAGCAGCCGGGCAGCGGAGTGGGTAGCCCCTTTGACGCGCGGCGGATCATCCTCCGGACGGAGGCGTTGTCGTGCTCGAGTGCGATGAAGGAGATGGAGTCGTCCGAGGCGCAGGTCGTCCTCGAGGCGTTCGACACCTCGGAGCCGCCGGAGCGGAAGAGGAAGGAGGGAGACGCGGCGCGGCGCGGCGACGGAGTGCTAGGTGTGGTGGGCTGGCGCGGGCTTCCCAGGCCGATGCTCGACGAGCGGCGCGGGCTGCCGGCTGAGCCCATGCTAGAGCGACGGCGCATGACCTCGTCGCCACCTCGAGCCAGGAGCAGGGCCACCATGTCCTCGCCGGACTCCTCGAGCTCGGCGGCCATGTGAATCGGCGTCATGCGGTAGACGTCCGGAAGGCCAATCTCTCTGCACGGAGTCTGCCTCGTAAGGACTTCGACGGCTTGCAAATGCCCGTGAGAGACAGCGACATGCAAGGCCGTCTGCCCGTCCGTGTCTACCGCATCCGCTCGCGCGCCCATGGAAAGCAGGAACGCCAGCTGAGCTGCCTCGCCGCGCTCCGCCGCCTCGTGCAACGGCGTGGAGCCCAGATGAAGAGCGTCGCCGCGCTCCGCCGCCTCATGCCCAGCCTCGTGAGGCGGCGTGATGGCAGCCTCGGCGAGCGGCGCAAGACGAGCAGAGGCGCTTGCCATGGCAGCTTCCATATCAGGATCGAGACTGTAAAGCCGAGCACCGACAGCCGCCCCGGGCCCCCCCCACTCTGAAACGCCGTCAAAAACGCTTTGAATGACCCGGTTTGCTGAATCCGACCAGCGCTCTACGCTCGTCGGTGGCGGCTTCCCTCAACCTGCGCCGCGCTCGGCGAACCTCGACAGCGCCTTCGGTGGCATGCAGCTCATTGCGACAGAAGCCTGGAGAGCAGCTCCTCTGCTGCTCACACGCTCTGCAGTCTGCACAGACGTGTGAGTG